GATAGTCTCAGGGTTATGTTTAAAGCGCAGAGAGAACCATGAAGACAAAGGAACACACCAGGCAGGTCCAAGATACTGTTGTGGAGAAGTTTAAAGCCGGATTTGGATACAAAAAGATTTCCCAAGCTTTAAACATCTCAAGGAGCACTGTGCAAGCGATTATATTGGAGCGGCACGGTGGCTGTGTGGATAGCACTCTCGCCTCTCAGCAAGAAGGTCCTGGGTTCGAATCCCGGTCGGACCAGGGCCTTTCTGAGTGGAGTTTGCATGTTCTCCCCGTGTCTGCATAGGTTTCCTCAGGGTACTCCGGTTTCCTCTACCACTAAAAATATGTACAATAGTTCCGGCATGCGCCTCCTGTTCGGCGACCCCGCTCCCATCTCTGTGTGGAGTGGGAGGACAAGTGCCCAAAAAATAACAATTGGAAACCACTTTGTGACTCTGGTCTGTGAAAGGCGGTATATAAATAAAGATTACTTACTTACTTACTATATTGAAATGGAAGGAGTATCAGACCACTGCAAATCTACCAAGACCCTCCAAACTTTCATCTCAAACAAGGAGAAGATTGATCAGAGATGCAGCCAAGAGGCCCATGATCACTCTGGATGAACTGCAGATAACTACAGCTGAGGTGGGAGAGTATGTCCATAGGACAACAATCAGTCGTGCACTGCACAAATCTGGCCTTTATGGAAGAGTGGCAAGAAGAAAGCCATTTCTCAAAGATATCCATAAAAGTCTTGTTTAAAGTTTGCCACAAGCCACCTGGGAGACACACCAAACATGTGGAAGAAGGTGCTCTGGTCAGATTAGATCAAAATGGAACTTTTTGGCCACAATACAAAACGATATGTTTGGTGTAAAAGCAACACAGCTCATCACCCTGAACACACCATCCCCTCTGTCAAACATGGTGGTGGCAGCATCATGGTTTGGGCCTGCTTTTCTTCAGCAGGGACAGGGAAGATGGCTAAAATTGATGGGAAGATGGATGGAGCCAAATACAGGACCATTCTGGAAGAAAAACCTGTTGGAGTCTGCAAAAGACCTAAGACTGGGACGGAGATTTATCTTCCAATAGGACAATGATCCAAAACATAAAGCCAAATCTACAATGGAATGGTTCACAAATAGACGTATCCAGGTGTTAGAATGGCCAAGTCAAAGTCCAGACCTGAATCCAATCGAGAATCTGTGGAAAGAGCTGAAGACTGCTGTTCACAAACGCTCTCCATCCAACCTCACTGAGCTCGAGCTGTTTTGCAAGGAAGAATGGGCAAGAATTCCAGTCTCTCGATGTGCAAAACTGATAGAGACATACCCCAAGCGACTTGCAGCTGTAATTGCAGCAAAAGGTGGCGCTACAAAGTATTAGCGCAAGGGGGCCGAATAATATTGCACGCCCCACTTCAGTTTTTTATTTGTTAAAGGCGCTATACCCGTTTCTGCAAGGTTTGAATGTTTAGCACCGCCCCCCCAACTCGCTCAATGGCTTTTCATTTGCCCTACGCTCTCATAACACAGAGCCATCTAGCTCAATTTGCGATCTGACATGTATGCTAACATTAGCATTAGCACAACTTCTTGTAAGCTTTACAACAATCACAGATGAAATGGTACTAAAGCAACGCACTGCTAACACAATATATAGGTAAAAGAATACTGCTTGTTTCCCATCCGAATGTATTCATTAAAACATTAGAATATATTTGAGTAATTAATTATAATTTATTATGCAGCTCCTCACAGCAGCAGTAGGACTCCATTGACTTGAATGTAATTCTACCGATCATTTTTTCTTTAACAGAACTCTCAAATCAATAATGACCGCTGCCCTTTGACAATGCAATCTCTGTTTGTAATTCAGGTGTGTAAAATACTGCCATTACGCCGCAAGTACAACGAGAGAAGCTAGCGGAGCTAGCCACGCTCAATAAACAAACACATATCAATCAATCAACACCATTAAATGTTAATCGGACAATACAGTATACATATACATCATTAACACACATGCATGGACAATTTCAGAATTTGCTGTCAACGTTTTCATGACAAAAATACTGTTTTAAAGTGACAAAAAGCGATTGCTGGGTTTCGGGTGACGTCACGGCAAAGGCGCGAAAGTTGTCCTGGGGTCAGGAAGTGAAACGGCCCATTGAAATACATGTAAAGTTGCCTCGATTCGATCTCAAAATGCCGAAATGCTGTGCTGTCTACGGATGCAGCAACCGCTCGAATCGTGAGAAGGACAAGGGTTTTTTTTGTGTCCCAAAGGTAGCGTCTCATAGAGGAGAAAATGTTAAGAAAATCACGGAGAAGAGGCGAGAACAATGGCTCAAGAATCTGCGGCTGAAATCTAAAGGAGCTGAAGCGGACCATGCTAGAGTATGCAGCGATCACTTTCTAACTGGTAAGTTGTAATTTAATGAATTAGCTAGCCACTTTACATTGACCTGGAATAAAGAATGGACATTAATCTAATTAATTGTGTTGACTAGGACTATGATATTCAGTCACGAATGCTAATGTTGCTAAGCTAATGGTTTATTTAACGCTGAACTAGTTGAAAGATCTTATTTACATTGCCGTTTTATACACATTATTATTTATATTTCAGGGCACCCGAGTGCACCTGTTGACGTGAAATCACCTGACTGGGCCCCCACTTTAAACCTCGGGTATCAACGTGGAAAGCCACAAACTGAAGCATCACTCCAGAGGAAGCAAAGGGCTGCAGCTCGGGAGAGCCCCTCTACAGCCTCTGAGGAGGCTCCCACATCCACACCTGACGTCTGTGATGAAAGATCATCGATTCACGAAGAGGAGCACTTCAAGGGTAAGCACGGTACTTTTTTTACTTGTATATACAATTATTTTGTACTCCGTGTGTGTATGTGTCTGTCTCTCTGTCTGTCTATGATGGATATGAGTAGTTCCTGGTTAGCTATTCATTGTCATTTGTTCTTTTCAAAAATGTGTAGATGCAGCATGCCAGACGTCTCTATCCATGGCTGACATCACAAGGATGGAGGAGTCTATGAGATGTGATACATCTGAGATCTGCAACCTCAAGAAAACCGTTTCAGACTTCACATTCACACCAGTCATTTCAGAATGAAGACAAAACTAAATTTTACACTGGACTTCCCAATTTTTTGGTTTTGATGCACATTTTTCAGCTCTGTGAACCATACATCACTGTGTCACCACTATCTAAATTTCAACAATTTATAATGGTATTAATGCGTCTAAGATTAAACCTTCAGCTCCAAGATCTTGCATATCGATTCAATGTATCAACAGGCACTGTGTCCAAAACTATGCATAAATTGATTCACATTCTCCACAAAAGACTAGAATTTCTGATAGAGTGGCCTGATCGAGAAGTGTTACAATCAACCATGCCCATGTCATTCAGAAAAGCTTTTGGACTTAAAGTTGCAGTGATAGTGGACTGTTTTGAAGTATTCATAGAAAGGCCTACAAATCTTTTGGCAAGAGCACAAACCTGGTCCAATTATAAACATCACAATATGTCAGGAATTGGCACCAGGCACTGAGCGTGGTGACTGACAGATCATAGACCCAAAAACCACACAACCTGAAAGTTCAGAAAGAGTTTACGTGATCACGGGGGAAACGCATCAAGCCATCAGACTGCTAGGACACATCCTGTGTACTAGCAGAGTGATCTCCCAATGTGCTCCTTTCCGGACACAACTTTTATTCGACACAAGAAAAGCAGGCGTGGTTACATTACACAATACCATATTTGTTCATAAAGAAAAAGCAGTTAATGCAGTTGGTGCGTCTAGTGACGCCCCCAACTCAACGTACAAGCATCTCAAACTTTCCGTTGCTCTTATCACTTCAGAGAACTGTTGTGCTAACGCGCGTCAGCCACATCCTGTCCCCTTTGCGCACACTTTCACATCCTGCTCCCCTGCACAATACTTTCATGACATTTGTTTAACCCATAGAAAAAAGGCAGTTCTGCTTATAAATGCACATACAATAAAACAAAATAAAAACCTGAACATAAACCCTGGACATTCTTTCACATTTTCCCCCTGTTTAAAAAAATTTCACAGAAAGTGTTCCGAGGCTAATCTTCCCGCTAGGGTTTGGATTAGCTCCTTCATGAATTTTGGAGAATTTGTACAACATGGGTCAACAATCATTTACTCTCTATCTACGTCCAGGATCGTCGTCAGGCAAGTCATCATCTGGGTCTAGTATGTCAACATCAATCAAGCGTACCTGTTCCTGAGTCATCAGGCCTTCCAGTGGTCTCAGCGCGTTGAACACCATCTTTTTCATCACAACACGAAATAATGGAATACAGCAACATATGAAAGCAATAAGACATACTAGGATTATAGTCAAACCCAGAAAAATTGCCTTAGCCAGGTCTTTATATTTGCCAAACCGGTCAAACCAAGACTCCAAGGCATTGTTGACACCAGAATGAGCCTTCATCTGTAAATTAAACTTCTCCAATCCTTGTAGAACTTGTGTCAATTTTCCTCCTGACCGTGTGTTATTTGGGATGGCCGTACAGCACTGACCATCGGGGAACAGGGAACAGACCCCTCCCTTTTCGGCCAGCAACATATCTAGGGCGATTCTGTTTTGAAATGCCATGAGTGAGGTTGCTTCCAATTGCTCATGGACAGCTTTCAGTCCCGCCAGGGTGTAATTCCCTAGAACTTGAACGTTGTAATGAATGTAATTGATGCGTTCAACATTCTTATTTATCACAATCTGTGGAATCAGACTCTCAAAACCAGAGGCGATGGGGTCAGCTAGTTTATATTCATTTGGCACTCCTCTGGGGACCCCAATGGCGTCTATATAAGTGGGGTTGTGTGTTGGGAGCCAGTCTAATGCCTCTCGGTTAAACCTAGTCATGGAATTGGGTAGCTGTGGTTTGACAATAGGCCTGCCTGCAAGCAGCACATCGAAGTCTATCTCATATATGGAGGTAGAAATGATCAGAGTGACCAGTGCACAGCGACCCGTGGTGGGGAGTTTGTCACGCAGCACTGATCCTCCGCACCACCACCATAGGTCAGCCCTGGACACCGTTGTCACACCCCGTTTCCTGTGTATGGTTGTTTGACAGTACTTAGGGGACAACATAGTTTCTTTTGACTCACCGGGTGTGCCTCTGTCACCTATGATCAGGATACATGTGAAATTCATGAAAGCCACTTCGGAGTCAAACATGGGTGTCCCCGTGCTTGGGGGAATCACTGGAAAAGTTTCAGCATATTTTTTAAGGTCAACAGCTAAAGCAGTCTGCGTCATTAGGTTGAGCACATCCACATTGTTGGGTAGTGGGGCGGGGACTACACGTACTGGGGGTCGTGGTCCCATGCACACTACACAATCTCTGGGTTGTCGCTTTGCCGCTTGTTCTGCTATTAAAAGCCAATTATTCTGATGGCCTGAAACTCCTGATGTGGTCCTGAACCATGTATCAGCGTTTGTTTCAATAACCACCGCTCCCCCTTTAGCGTAGATCAAGGTGGGGGATGGTATCAATGTTTCTTTAGATCTACGGACGTTGAGGAGATAATGCCCTCCTTTAGATTTGCGCATCAACCACCAGGGTCTAACAGGGCGGTACCATGTATCTGGGTTATCAGGGTCAGCTTGGTAGTGTCCTGCAACAACGTCATAGTGCACCCACAACCCCCCTTCTATAGCGGTGTACGGTACAGATGTGGGAGTACCTGGTGGGAACAACCGAGCATCCTTCCCTTTAGATTCTACAACCCACTGGTCATGTTGGGTACAACCTGTGGGACGTCTTCCCTGGACATCGGACAGCACGCTACAGGGTATCTGTAGAGAAAAATTACCCTCAAGGGGTAAACAAAACCCTGAGCCATATGTTATTCTTCCATATAGTTCAGTACATAGTTCTCCTGGGGTCTTCTGTGGCTGCTCTGGACCGTTGGCGACGTTGTTGACTGGGGCTGTGAAGGTCAGCGTAGCCAGGCCTAGGACTAAGCCTATAAGAGCCTGGATCGATCTCATCGTAGCCAGGCCTAGGACTAAACCTATAAGAACCTGGATCGATCTCATCGTAGCGGTTGTGTGTGTTACAGTACCGTTGTTGTCACAGCTTACCAGCGACGTCCTGCGTCTCTCTAGGCGTTCGGGTCGAGTTGGTCTCGGAGCTTGCAATGGGAGAGGTGCACCCACGAGGTCCGTCCCTCAATCTTCACTGCCGTGGGAGTGGAGATGGTGACGACGTGTGGACCCTCCCACCGTGGGCTGTTCCAGGACTTCCTCTTTATCACTTTGATGAACACACAGTCCCCTGGTTTCACAGTCCTTTCCTGTTGAGAGAATGGTTCGGCAGGCAATTTATGCACATTTTGGATTTCTCGGCTCTCAAACAGCTGTCTCATATGTCACCAGGTCTGGACTAGTGTCCGGTCTGTCCTTCTCAATTAGTTGTAAGTCTGGAATTGTAAATGGTCTTCCATACAGGATCTCAAATGGAGACAAAGAGTTCTGAGCGGGTAAAATATGTAGATTAGTTTTTACAAGATCCACACATTGTGGCCACGTTCTTCCTGTGTCCTTGGTAGCTTTGGAGAGTTTATTTTTGATTGTTCCGTTTACTCTCTCTACCAGTCCTGCTGATTGAGGATGGTAGGCACAATGATTTTTCAATGTTATTCCCAAGTGTTCACCTATACGATGGATTACTTCATTAACAAAATGAGCACCACAGTCTGATCGTATTATCTGAGGAATCCCGAAAGTCGGTATTATGGTCTTACAGATGGCCTTAGCCACTGTGAGTGAGTCATTACTTGCAGTAGGAAACATTTCTACCCACTTGGAGAATGCATCAATGATTACTAAACAATACCGTAGTCCGTTGGTTTTGCCTAGTTCTATATAGTCCATGTGTATTGTATGAAACGGGTGTGGAGGCTCTGGGAACTTCCCTCTCTGTGGTCTCGCTGCTCCCTGGGAATTGTTTCGAATACATATCAAACATTGTCTACAAAAATTTTTTGAATATGTATTGAACCCTATTGTTGTATAGTATTGATTTACTAATGCATTCATTCCCCCTGTTGACACATGGCAAGGACCATGAGTCAATTTACTAGCTCAATTAAACAGAGATTTAGGTAACCATGGTTTTTTATCGTCACCAACGTAGAGTCCATTTTCTATCACACACCCTTTTGCTTTCCATGTAGCTTTTTCTGAGGCTGTCGCACTCTCCTGATACTGTTTCAGGATTTCATGTCTGTCACAATCATCTGGTACAGTCGGTTCAGTATTTACAATGTTTACATAGGCTGCTTTCTTAGCTTCCAGATCTGCCAATCTATTTCCTAGGGAAACAGAGTCATCATTTTTGGTATGCGCTGCACATTTGCATACAGCTATAGCTTTGGGCAATTTTATTGCCTCCAGCAGGTCAATTAGCAATTTCTTGTGTGTTACCGGTTTTCCTGAGGCCGTCTGGAAACCACGATTCGCCCATTGTTTACAGAATTGATGGACAGTACCAAAAGCATACTGTGAATCTGTATAAATGGTTACACTTTTACCTTGGAACAATTTACACGCTTCTATCAGCGCTACTAGTTCTGCAGCTTGTGCTGATAGATTGCTTTTCAGACGTCCTGATTTTAGCAGCTTAGTTTGGTCTGTGATCGCATATCCAACACGATTGTGATTCTGTGCATCTTTTGATGCTGATCCATCAATGTACACAGTTACTCCTTTAGTCAGTGGTAGGTCACTTAGGTCTGGTCGTGGTCTGACGTCTTCCATTGCCAGTTTATCACATTCATGGGGAGTCCCGTCCTGTTCAGTCGGTAGCAGCGTGGATGGGTTCAGGACATTACATCTTACCACTGACAAATGTGGCTGTGATAACAGTGTAGCTGCACAACTCAAATGTCTAGATAGAGATAAAAATGCCATGTTTGTTTGTAACAACAGCATTGCTACTGCGTGAGGTACCATGAGAGTCAATGGGTGGAACAATACTACTTCAGCAGATGCGTGGATCGCCATTGCAGCCGCGACTACAGCCTGTACGCACGGGGGCAATGCTTGTGCCACAGGGTCTAATTTAGTAGAGTAGTAAGCTACAGGTTTCAGTTTAGTTCCATGTTTCTGTGTTAAGACTGAGGTCATGCATCCATCACGCGCGTCACATGTTTGTACAAATGGTTTGTCATAGTCTGGGAGCTGGAGAACAGAGGTCGACATTAGGGTCTGTTTTAATAAACAAAACGAGTCTAGAGCTTCTGTAGTCCAGGTCAGTTTGTCTCCCATATTCATGGGGGTGTCGTGGATCAATGCTTGTAGTGGTCTGGTAATTTTAGCATAGTCCGGGATCCACAGTCGACAGTAATTAGTCAGTCCCAGAAATGACATCATCTGTTTTTTCGTCTGTGGTTGTGGGGCTTTAGCAATAGCCTCTTTCCGGTCATCAGAAATTGACCGTCCAGCCTGAGTGAGTGTGTGTCCCAAATATTTAACATTTTCCTTCCACAGCTGCAATTTGTCTTTACTGACCTTGTTGCCAGTTTCTGCTAAATACTTGTTATGGAAATTCTAATGCCTCAAATGAATGAAACCGAGAGGAAACAAACTTGTCCTTTTGTGCAGTTTATTTACAGAAGTGATGAGTACAAAAATGACATTTCTGCGCAGAAAAGGAGCCAGACAGAAACGGGTCCAGTGACGCCGTGTCTCTCTGTTTCCCTCAACCAGCGTGTTGATCTTATACTGGAGGTGTGTCAGACAGAACAATGAGCATTCGTCACAAGAGAGATGAGTCATACGCGGCTGCAGACGGGAAAGTTTGGGAGAGATACATTAAGCGCTGTGAAGAGACCTTGACAAGATGGGAGACGCGGAAGAAACAGATAACAAAAGAACACGCCGTGAGTTCATCTCAGATAAGCACCTGCAGATGGTGACCAAGGCTATGAGAAAGAAACGCAGACAAGCAGTCTTGTGTAATACATTTCTAAATGCTGGGAAACAAGGCAAATGTATCGACTAAATGATTACAATTGTCCTGTGCCGGTAACTGACCATAACAATCTACCCTTTGATTATCTTAAATCAATCACACACATGCTATCAAGTACTAAAAATATAAGTAAAATATAAGTAAAATATAAGTAAAATATAAGTAAAATATAAGTAAAATATAAGAAACCCCGGAACATCAAAACTTTCACACCTAGTAGGTTTAAGAAAATCCGTCATAAAATGGGTTAAACATACAAACCAATTTACTCAAAATCATCAAGTAACATCTCACTAAATGGATCACTGTCCTCATCAAGACAGTCAACATGCAGGTTAAGAGAAGTATGTTGAACGAGTGTCGACGAGATCATACGTCGGATCAATGAACGGATCAAAGGAATGACACAACATGACAGCACTATTAGCAGTACTAATATTACTCCAAGTCCAGTACCTATTTGAACCAACCACGCTCGCCAGTCTGAAAACCATGAAGCATCTAGAACAAAATCACGGTTAACCGCATCGCGCAAAGTGGTTAGATTTCGAATACCCTGTGCAATGATCCCATCATCGGCACTGTTATCAGGAATATAAGTACAACAAGCGGTCTGATTAAGTAAAACACAAACACCTCCACTTGAGGCAACCAAATGGTCCAAAACAATCCTGTTTTGTAAAGCAACGGCACGCAACGCATTTACTTCTACTCTGTTGGCCTCTAGAATAGTTACAGTTGAATTCACAAAACTTGAAAACCGATAATTCAAGGTTTCCATTCTAAGCATAACCTTCCCTATACCGACCTGGGGGAACAAGGAGAGAAGTACTTTTGTTGGCTTGGTCCACAGTTTGTGATCATCTGGAACGTCCGTCCCCCAAACTGCATCATGAGCAGCAAAATCGCGCTTACCTCGCGATCTAGGAATGGTAGAGATGATGTAAGAGTGATCTGAAGCTATCATCAGAGCACAACGACCTATCCAATTAAATGGTAGCTTCACATAGACATTGAAGCCACACAGCCACAAAACACCCTTCAGAGGATTAGTCCCTGTTGAGTCAGGAACCGTGAAGTATGGGGCACATGTACTACCCGGAGCGGCCTGAGAAGTGTTTAAACTTGAATTACCATGAAAAGAAGTGCACGGTTAGACACATTTAAACAAAATGACATAGGGATCCGTCCCATCTGTATAGGAGAATCTGTAATGGTCATGGATAGAGTGTAACATACAAATTTAGTACCAGGTCTGATATGTACCGGGCCAAAAATTGGATCTAATTCATCATTAAACCAATAATTGAAGAAATCAGAACTAACAGCCGGTTTGAGTGGGGGGAGACATTTACCTGTACGCTTTGTGACGGTCTCATTGAAATAATCAACAGAGACAGATGAATACAGAATCTTTGGAAAATGTGTAAATGCATCGACCATTGGTAGAGGTGTGATTTGTGGGTTTGATGACGCAATAGGCATATGAGTACAAATGTAGCAATTTGAGCGATTCTGTGACTCTGCTAAGAATTTTGCATATTGATACCACAAATTAAGTGTGTATACACTGGTGTGATTCATTGACTGAGCCAAAACACGTGACCACGCAAAATCCATTTCGGCCACATCTTCCCTCTTCACACGTTTTGATGTAAATGAAGAGGTGTTAGAAGTGTAATTGACAACGACCTGTGTTTGATTGTTCTTTTTATTCTCCCGACCTTCAAACCATAACAGTGGAAACACAATGAGGAAGGAAATGAACATGAGCACACACAAAGTCTTTCTCATCCCGCAAAGGCCCTGCTGCCTGAATGGATGCCAAGGACCGTGCTCCCGGCCGTGGCGCATCATGGACTTGGATTGTCACTTGTTGATCTTCTTGTGTTACCTATCTTCTGCTCATCTATGACCTAGGAGTGTAGTTACCAGCACTTTTCTCCTGGTGCAGCTAACAATGTATTTCTAACAATGTTTTACGTTGGGAGGGGGTAGTGTGTGTGTGACCCTC